AAATCAAGGGAAAAAAGGAAAACTGATATTTAGATGTACCTGGGTTTATAGGTAAATTCAGCTTACAACTGATGGTCAGCAAGATTTTGACCTCAAACAAACACAAACAAAAGTAAACCTGCTGTAATAGTTCTCACAGCTACAAAATGTTCTTCCAAAAAAATCCACCTTGATGAATTTGAACAAGTCATTTATCCATTTCTTGCTACATTTTTCAATTTAAAGGAGCTTGCTTTTCACATTGATGTTTACAGAATCAATAAGCATATAAATATCTAGTTAATGTGTTGAAAAATATCACACATTTATAGCCTCTGTTACCATAAAATCTTACTCCAAAGGGCTATTGCAGCGAAACCTACATGTAAGTGGATTTACAGGAGCTGTAATGAGAGGAAGGTCACAGGAACACACTGAACAGCTGTCCTCGCAACACAAGCTTCCACATTGCTAGTAGGATCAGAGCAGGGCTGCAGCTGATCACATCAAAGGCATCCGCTGAGTGAAGTTAGGGACAGTGGAAAGGATGTTATCACTCCCACAGCAGTCAGTCCACTGCATGTGGAGAAAACCTTTGGTGAGTAAAGTTTATTTTGTTGCAACAATAACAATAACAGAGCGAGAGAAAGCAATCCCTTGTCTATTGACCCAGTCATCCACTCTGTTTTAAGTTTATGAAATCAGGATGCAAAGGTAACAGGCTCAGGAAATAAACACAGACATCTATATCTCTAGAAACACTTCAACCAAGTCGACCACTTTGAGTAAAACCTTTTAATGCTGACAAAAAAAGTGGTTTTACTCCAAGCTCAAAGTGTGAGCTACTCTATTTACACTACCTTAGTCCAGTCACCCGTTGTAGGAATCACATTTCAACTGCTTGTATCCAAGATCTTGTTCTTGCAATCATGATGAATATCTTATGAGAATTGAACAAAGATGGATGGAATGTAGACAAACCGGCAATTAGAAATCCTTCCTTTGTTGACTCAGCTTTTCCTACATATGAGCCCACAGTTTGATTATTTAAATCCTGCCCTCACCTACCATCAGGGCTTTACATTAGTATCTACCAACCCACTGAATGAAGATGCATTTCAGCACTGATGGGTAACACAGCCACATCAACAAGCCACATTGGTGGGGTAAATTCTATAAACATTGGTCTGTTTGTGACCAGAGCATGTGAATGGAGCAGAGGGCTGCACAATTCCAGCTCTAGAGGATGTTCGCTCATTTGCTCCGCCACTCAAAGTTGTGCCAGGACGCTCCGCTCAAAATTCGCTCTGCGCTCACCTTCATTTTCCTGCTGCTCCGGTAAAATCGCTCCACGCTCGCTAAAATTTTCAGAAGAAGGCATTTTCTAATATTTTTCCTTCTTGTAATTATGCCAGAGCCCTGGGACACATGGCGTTTGATTTAATGATATGACCGTTACATGGCTGTTAAATTATTGCACTGTGACCGTAACACCTCACTCCATTCATGTTGCCCTGCGTTTCCTATTTAATTATTAATTTATTTTACTAGACTACCGGTACATTAAAAAAGGTCACTTCACATCCCATTTCAGATTAGATAATAGCCTATAATGCATTTATGTGATCAAATTTCAAAAACAGGCTCTTACCACAATGATCACTTTATGTATAATCTCAATCTGTATTGTTAAGTATAGTTAGTGTATGTTTTTATGATATTTTATCCCACTTTTTATCACACAATATGCAATCCTCATCTCTGGAATTCTGTGGTAAAGTTGAAACATGAACTATAACAGATTATAGGCACAGACTACAGCATAGGCATTGGCCTAGGTTTTAAGTCAAAAATGAATTTAGATAAAGTCGGAGCAAACTGGAGCAGAGCAAAATCCTGGTTCCGGCCTTTGAATTGAAAACCGCTCTGCACTCCACCATATTTCTTCTGCTCCACTCCACTGCTCGCTCCACGCTCACATAGTCTGTTTGTGACCGATATTACTTTTGACAGGGTATGAAGTCCAAATTCTACCCAAAGTGCTCACAAATGATGAATTAAGAATACTCATAGGATAAGTTTTATTTTAAACACACTAATGTGCACCACTCTCCAACCAAATTTTTCAGTTTTATGGTTTCAGATTTTTTCCTAGTGCTGTGCAGATCTCTTTCTGCGATTTCATATCAACTTTTGTCACTTTGAGGGTGGAACCAATCAAAGAAAGTAATTTGACTTTAATTGGCTACTTTTCAGGAAATCCCTCCTCTTCCTAATTATGGCTATTAACATTAGCTTTAGGGCAGGGATCTCATGCTGGTTCCAGAAAGGGCCGTGTGGCTGCAGGGATTGCAGTACATGTACGCCATCCAATGCAGATCATTGGCGCCATCATCTAGTAAAAACTAGTGTAATTGGATGAGTCATATAACACAAACACTGATTGGTTAGCTATTCATCAATGCTGACGTCAAAGAAAATCATCAGACACAAGCAGGTGTTCTTCAAACTGCAAACATGAATTGTCTATGCCATGCAACAATGTTGAGATGTCTAAAACGTCGGACACTGGGAATTGGGAGATAGAGACCAACAAGACCTCCCTCATCCTTGGCCCTATCTCAAAAATTTTTCCAAATAGTCAAAAAAATGAGCTTTCAATTCATATAGTGGCATCTGGCTGTTTTTTTTTTAAAGGTTATTTTATACTTTAAGTACTTTTTGGAGCTTATACTTTTTCACTTTTACTTGAGTAAAGAGGTCAAGTTGATACTTCAACTTTTACCAGAGTGTTTTTAAACTGCAGTATCTATACTTCTACTTAAGCAACATATGTGTGTACTTTTGGCACCACTGTGAAGTAACAGCCAATGTAAATGCTCAGTTTTAATCATAACAACAGACTAATGATACATGCAAACGAATATCGCGAAAATGATTTTTATTTTATCTCTGTATATTTTATGTTCTCATGTTGATATTTTTTGGAATCAGTGTCCAGGGATTGTTTCATAAAGGATGAGGAATTACCATCAAATTGTTTCATGCCATGAAGAATGCTGATGAGTTCGCTGCTTGTTTTGTAGCTCTAATATAGAAGTTCCTTGAGAGCCTTTACTGCATCAAAATTTGATATATAGTATTTGAAAATGTCAAAAAAGTGGCCTACCATGACTATGAAGCTGATCCCAGTGGGAAATGTGTCCTCTGCATTTGATAGCCATGTCAGTCCACGGACTGACTGCAGTTCTACTGTAAGGTGCCTTGATCAATGACCGGCATACCTGACATGTAACAACCATACTACGCTTATTGCTTTAGGTTAATAGACTATATTAAATAGGCTATGTATGGTTCCAAAATAATAAAAAAAATTCCATCATCCCCCTTCTTTCTTTTTTTTTTTTTTTTAACAACTAGACTACTGGTATCACATAACAAACAGGATCAGAGATGAGGGGCAGAGCTGTCACAGTCCAACATGTTCTGTCAAGAAATCTTACTTTGAGTTGAGAGTGCGGAAAATGACCCAAATAAAATAAACCCTACTACCCCATTTAAACATTTAACTGAATCTTTATGTGTGAAAACCTGAAGGCAGAATTATGTAATCCCTCAGTAGTTAAAATATTCTACCTGGACTTTTTTTTTTATAAATAATGAGATGATCTGTTCCCATTATTTATGTAAATCAGGCATATCATACCTGTTTTCTCTATGAAATTTCACTCTAGGAAAAACAAATCAGCAACACAATACAAATCAACAATATCCAGTTCAGTCAAGCATTTACATTACTGTATGTTTATTTCTTATGGTACAACTTTGTTTAGTATACTTACTGTGTATGATGATGAAGGCTGATAAAATCCAGCATATTCATACAGACAGATTATGGTTAGTTATTTTCAATTTAAAGACTGCCTCACAGAGTGATACAGTATAAAATAAAATAAAAATGCAGGAGTAACCCTACATTTCTAATAAGAGTTAGCAAAAGATCATGTTTTACAATTGGGGTACTCTTACCATGGACCTTTTTTTTCTACATTTCCACGATGTAGTAGCTAAAGACAAAATTAGATATCTTGCATAGTTGGGCATTCTGGAAGATGATGCTGGATTTGTATTGCTTTAGACAATATCAATGATGATTGGGCTATACGACACTTCATTTCATATGACACTTCATATCATACAGAAAACATATTTTCTGTATGATAAACACTAAAAGTCAAGAGAGCTTAATCAAATTATGTCTTGATTAACGTATGACCATCTATGGCATAAAAAAGATTTATTTTGGTTTAGAATAGGGGTAAACATAAGAATATTACAGAAGCTGACAGCCAATGTTCAAAAACAACTTAGGCAAGTAAAAGATGAGACATGATTTTTCTCTGTGAGGAAATAGACAGATTTTTATGAAGCTAAGTACAAAAAGAACCAAACATTTCAGAACTTCCACATTTTAAGGTACTATCTGAGAAGCAATCTGAAAACTGCACTTTCTGGGGTTTGCATTGATAAAATAAAGAACACTTTCCTCAGTACAGATTTTCTAATGCATTTTTCAAACTTCAGAAAATACGGTGATAAGCTTTTATTGTTTTTTCTTGTTATAACCTTGTCTTGTTGTTTTTACTGTGTGAACACAATGTTTTTCAGGTATGCAGTGTGATCAACATTCAAATTTTCCATCACCAAATAAATTTCACATAATGAAAAGAAAACAGTTGATTTTGAGCAGATTAGTGTTGCTTGACTGGTGTAAAAAGACTCCTCAGTAAGAACAGCCGCCAAGCCTGTGATTCTCAAGACTATTTAAAAAGTTGAAACCCCACAGGGTGAACGACAGAGGAGTTACTGAGAGATTTCAGCAGATGTTAGGTGTCATATTGTATTACATTTTTTGCTTGAAGAGGTACTAACAACCCCTTTTAACCCAGTCAACAATGCAGACACATTTACTATTTTTCATTTATAACCATTTCTGTGTCTTTGTTCCTGTTTTTTCGCAGATCCCTCAAGTGAGTTATGCCTCTACAGCTCCAGAACTGAGTGATAACACCCGCTACGACTTCTTCTCTCGTGTGGTGCCCCCAGACACTTACCAGGCTCAGGCTATGGTTGACATCGTCAAAGCTATGCGATGGAATTACGTCTCAACTGTGGCTTCGGAGGGAAACTATGGAGAAAGTGGTGTTGATGCATTTATTCAAAAATCTAGAGAGGATGGTAAGTCTTATTTTCTGCAGACATATAAGAAGGTTATATTAAATTGTTATTTTAATCCAATCTTTAGAGTAATGAAAAAAATTAATTTACCTCTCTGGGGACTGCTGATTTATTATAATAGATATATTTATTTTGAATTACTGACATAAATAATATTAAACTAAAAGCTAACTAAAAACTAAAAAAAGACATTTGTAAACTTAATTTGTTTTATTGATCTATCCAGCATTGCTCATTATTACTATTTTCATATCTTGAAAACACCTAATATGACGAGGTATCCCCTTTAGTGTATTTTGCAAGTTTTCTAAAGAGCTTTCCCTTTTTTGTTTTTGTTTTTTTCCACAAAGACTGCTTCTGCTCTTATTTTTTTCCAGGTACTTAATCATTTTCAAAGAATATGCTTTTTAAAATCAGGTTGTTGCAGCCCCC